TTTACAAGTTTTCTGTGTGTACACTGAACAGTCCAGTTGTTTCCAGTCTTCTAAAAAGAGACCTAGCTCTGCATTTCTGCGTTTCATTTAGTTGGGCATATATCTATCTATCTATCTATCTATCTAATCTAAGGCATAGGTGAATGGCGAGGTAACATCCCGAGGGAACATGATTTGATTGACCAAGTTTATGTAACCCATTTTTCCAGCAAAATTAAAGTTATCCCATCTTACCGGAACCTGCACGAATTCGACTTTGTTACCCCGCTCTGTACGCCCAAATACCCACTGCGCGGATACTTCGGATCCATTAGTTGACCGCACCCGTACTTGTCCTACCCACATCCCAAGTAATCGAGACGACCGGATAGATGGATAAACAACTTTGGGAGGGGGCTATTTCTAATCCCAAGATAGGGTTCAAACCCCCAGTAATGCGTGATTCATATTTCTCTTTGGCAAAACAACTACCTCCTAAATAATTCTCATTCTCATCTTGGTGTTATTTATGAGACAATGAAGCCTAACGCTCAACGTGATTGTTATTCTATTACAAGACAAAGTACGGTGAATGATCCACACCCAGAAATTCGACATTTTCCCTTCGCTGTCATCGTTCTCCGCAGGGGTTCATCCAAAGTTCCTCGTGTGTTTCTCGTTCTCCCTCCAGGCCACTGCTGATATTTAAAACCACCGGATTTTATTTGGTGCTTTATTCTGATGCCAATCAAATGCATGTGATGCGCGCGCCCGCGCTCTCTCGTTCGCTCGAAACTTATCCAGTAGAAAACTATAGATGCGACTTGCCCATACGGCACAATTGGTAGTCTATTGAATGATGCCTGAGGGAAACCCACTAAATCTGCTTGAGTGTGAATCGTTCCAAAGTCAAACTGTATAACAATAGAATATATCAATAACCTGGACTCAAACTTAGAAAATTCAGTTGAGAGAGGATTAACACTAGCTGGATGCTGGGATAGCCTACTTATTCGATAAACGTTCATTGGTTATTTTGTAAATGCCTAATCTGAAAGGTTTCACAATGAACAAGACTCACGAGTACCAACTTAAGTGTTTTATAACCGGAAATTAATAATGCTTTACAACATCGAAATCAGAAAATAAACAACTATGAATAGTTTGACGGCTCATCAATTCATATTTCCATTCTTTCACCACTGGTGTTTCCGGTAAAAAGGTTGCTAACTTGTTACTCCAAACACTGAACATCAGTGAAAGATGGATCAACAACCGAAAAGCTTAATCCCCTATGATAAAACTCATAGGTTCCGCTAAGTGTTTTGGGGTTAGAGGGGGAACCGGTAATGATAACTCAAGCACAGCCAAAAAATAGGTCACGCTGAGTTCCGATTCTTTACCCATGGGTTTACAGATTCTGAACAAGGCACACTTCTGAAGAAACTACGAACCTAATTGGGAACCTAATGTATCTTTATTTGTTTTTCATTGGATCTAATTAGGAACGATGTCTTAGATATCATCCCTTGAAGTCGATTTACCATTCTTTTTTTCAACACACACAGGTGATGAGTAGCGTTTTGTATCGTGAACCACAATTTCATTGTTCTGAAGCATCCGCAAGATTGGGATACACTGACAACATCTGCATCGCTTGATAACCCAAATAACAATCAAATCTAGTAGGAAAACGAGGCATGTGAGATGCCAGATGTATCCTTTTGTAGTTACAAACGAAATGCCGTGGGGATAAGAAAATGCAACGTAGTTATTCATTCCAATCTGCTGTTTGGGTTACTTTGACTTCAGATCGGGTGGGAGTGTATGCACCTTTTGGAGATTTGAAGAAAACAGCGTACTTGCTTCTCCTGCATGTACTCTTACCTGCACTTTGAAAACAGTCTATAAATGCTTTCAATTTCAAGTAGTTTACAGTGAATCAGTTGGTGATTCAGAACACTCTAAAATGTGCTCATTAAGAGATAGGAATACCTCTTCGAATGCAAACAATGGTTTGCAGTAACTCCATCTCTATCCCTCATAAATTATATCGCGACTGTGTGAGAGTGTGTTTCGCGGTTGACTCCGATTCAGATAAAGGTCATGAGGATCTAATTGGAAGCGAGTATGTGGGTCACATCACAAACAATAGAATGTTTTCTTCCTTGTGAGTAAATGGTCGATCACTGCAGTTCACGTTATCGTCTCGCGATCCTCTTCAAATATGAGTTCGTAATTAAAACAATTCTGCTTCAAGCTTCGACAAGATCGTGTTGCGTTCAATGGGGCACATATTTATCCTCAACAGTGAGTACAAAGCGATGCAGCATTAGAGTCAGGTAAGAAACCCCAAAATCTTTGTGAACAAAGTTACTGCTAACATAGCTATTTCCTCAAGTCATGCCAGACTGTGGAGGAAAGTTACTGTCTTGAATATGCTCGTTTAAAACATTGGTGGGTTGTCAGATTTGTTTTTACCACTGTTCTTTAATTACTAACGGTTTATCCATGGTATAAATAAGATACAACTCCTTCTATTCAGGTGTCATAGCATCAATTTAAGATATCATGTTGCTATGTGGATAGTCCAGTGCAATCGCTCCATTGTTTCACATTGTCTTGCCCCTCTCAGCTGTGACACTTAACAAATAAATTCACTCTGACCCTCTCTGCGATCTAATTGGATCATTTTCCGCGATTTGCTCAACTTGGAATTCATCAGCCTGACACGAGACTGTCAGATTACGTTATGTTCTTGATGTCAAGTTCAATCCATCCGTGTGGTGATGGCACTCCCACTGTACAGTCGAAGTTCACTGGGCCTGCTAAAGATTCGGGGTTGTAGACAAGGTGTTGGTTCTCACTCGGGTTAGCTGGGCAAGCACCAGGTCCATTGTTGCGGATGGACCATCCGACGGACCGATAAGTGTTGGTAGAGAATCAACAGAAGAGAATCAGTTATGGAACGATGCGTTATGTGGGAAATTTGGAATGGAAAATGTCCAAACGACGATGACACTGGGCCAGCGTTTGACTTGTCTCAGATACAGGCACTATTTTTCTAACGGGACGGGAAACGGACAATCATAATAAAACTTTCAACTTGTCTTGAGTACGGGCTACAATATCCACTAATATAGGCCTATGCAAAACTCTTCTTGGTATTTTATCAACTGGCTGTTTTCGCGTTGAACAACCTAGCTAACTACATCACTACAATTCAGGGGGAGAGACCAAATATTAGGGAAAAATACATATTCATTTTATAAAAGTTGTTCAGTATGTCTTCCATCCTGCTGCTATCATGGCGAAATACGGCGAAGAAAGTTTTCTTGCACCTTCAGAATAATAGCAGTTTGTATACTTCCGCACTGTTTTAGCTCCTCGATCGTTCTCGGTTTTAACAAAACGGTTCCCCATAGAACGAAATCCAAGGAAGACAGATCAGGTCGTCTTGAAGGCCTTTGTTTTGGTCTTCCCTCTACAATTTGTCTGTAGTTAAAACTCAAAAACGAGGAAACTTCTCACCACCAGAGCATTGTGTGGCGGTGTTCCGCCATGTTGAAACCAAACTGTGGTACCAAATGGCGATCAGTACAATACTAAGTTGAAAAACAAAGGCGGTAAACGCTATGTACATACAATAATAATACGTAGCTCTACATAATCTTTTCAAATATTCCATCAAGAATTTGAGTCTGCTAACGCCGTGATAGTCATTACACCTTTGACATGTAAACCGATATTCGGGGGTTGAATGATGAACTGACTAGCTTAATACAACGCTTAACCCAGTTGAGTATAATACAATTCTCTAACCCGATAGTTCTTGGTTTGAGTCACGGTGGAGCTCTAAAAATAGTGCGCATTGCCTGGTAGGTTTTAAAACGGACAAAACAGCTATCCAGTGTACTACTGACCCTCACTAGCGAATAACGTGTCACGTAATAGTTTCAAACGCAGCCAAAACTTTACCAAACTAATCATTCAGATGAAGCTATCACAATGGACCACTAGAAGTGTGGGTTGTAATCGTTAGCTGCAACCAGCTTTATCTGATCGGATAAACTTATAAGTTCCCGTGATTTTTTCTGTACCTGTTTCTCCAGTTTACACGATCAACTCGTACTATAAATTTTCATCGAATCACAACCTTGTTCACCAGTTACATTACTGGTTGAACCCAGACACTTTCACTTTCTTTTCATAAGGCAACCTCACCTGTGTTTGTAATAAATATCAATTATCTGAAGATAAACCAATCTAACGTCACTTTTGATGCAAAGTTGACTAGAAATACCAATGGAAGCTGTTCGTAAATGTTTATTTATGGGTAAACTGCAGCCAACAATTGTTTCATTGTATGCATTTCATGTGTTATAACACAGAAAAAATATATATTCCAGCTCAAATTGAGCTTTTGAACTGTGCCTCTAAATCGGACTTTTACCGAACCATTCAAGGTTTTACTAGAGAGTATTCCCTTCCGATTGATCGCACTCCTTATTGTTGCACCCGGACCGTCTCAGTACTGGAATCTCCACTAATTGTACACCGGATCTCACCGCCAGGTAAACAGTCTACACGTAATGAAATAGAACACGGTTGGAATAATGTAGGAATTCTTTTTACACAAAAAGGCTAATTATATATAGAGATGAGGGAAGGCTTGAAACTGAATATGCACAACAGTTGGTTGACCGTAGTGGTGTCAACCGTCTTGATTGACCCTGAATTCTGATCAATCACCGGCCTTGGAGGAACTTTTAACAGAGTGGTTGTCCAGTACTGATACGTTTTTCAGGGTCTACACTAACGCCCAGACATCCATGTCACGAAAAATGCTGTGCAATGATTTATTTAATTGGAAAAAGCGAAAATGAAATACTTTTTTGTCTATTGTGAAAAGTTCAGTAGCCTTGGTTGACTACTGAACTTTCACAATCGACATAAAAACTTCAAATCTGCCAAACAGCTATTTGAAATATTATTTATTTTGTTATGTGCTTCCATTTCAGAAATCTGTCTCCTATCGAACGCCAGGCGCGTAGCCACCGTTCAAGCCGAAACATACTGTACGTTATACTCTCTGGATCAAAAGAATTTCTACGAAGTACTTGACAATTATCCGGCAATGCGCATCTCAATGGAGAAAGTTGCCGCAGAGAGGTTAATGAATATCGGTCATCGGCCCTCAATTGTTCAACAACATTCAGATCCGAAAGATCGTTCAGACTATGCCCAGAAAATGGCAGACCAGGTAACTAAGGCTTATCCATCAGAAATCCTGCCCTGACTACAGATAGGTATGAAATGTTCAAGCACTACATAGCAATAATAAAATATTGTGCCTTAATTCTGAGGGTATTTTCAAAAAAATTATATATTATTACTAATTACAATCAAGTCAAAAAGTTAATTTTCGGAAAATGAGGCAATCCAACCCGAACATTATTGAATAGGAACTTAAGTTACAGCTTTCATTTTGAAATCAATAATTCGCAAACCGATCAAATAGACTAAACATTTCATTTCAAACCTCNCCTCCATTTATAAATAGACCTACTAGTCTTTCATTCTGAATGGATAAGTGGACACGCGATACACTGCTGCTCACCAGAACATAAAATTTACTTTAGACTTGGAAAACGAAAACAAATTGACATTTCTAGACGTCTGGTTGAGTCGTAGATCGGATGGCTCGGTGCAACGATCAGTGCATAGGAAGGCGACTTGGGAGGGCCAATATATTCATTTTGGCAGCTTTGTACCGCTCAAAGTGAAGAGGAATTTGGTGCTCCACCTAGCAGATAGAGCAAGGAAAATTTGTAGTGAGGACACAACAGAAGAAGAGCTTCATTTCTTACGTACTATCTTCACACACAATGGCTATCCGGAATGATTGGTTAGCAAGATGATTCAGATATTGTGAAGAAGACCGAGGTCAGAAAGAAGTCGGTATACATTGCCTTGCCGTTCAAGAGGGATACATCAGCCGAAGTAATACAAAGGAGACCATTCGATGCTGTTATTAATACCTTCTTTACAGCAAAGCTCAGTGTTTTGTTCACTTCCCAGCCAATTGTGTGTTCACGACTAAAGGACAAAATGCCGGATTCTGCCGTCTCATTTTGTGTGCACTCATTTACGTGTTCCTGTGGAACAACGTATATGGGCCGCACGGTCAGGCGTTTGTCCGAAAGAATCCGTGATCACCACCCTAAACAGGAACGATTAAGTTACTCACTAGTGCAGTGGCTTCACACCTAGTTGAAACAAGTCGCATTGTGAATGTGACCTAGGTACTCCATCCCCTTTATCGGGTTCGTGGTCGATTATCAAGACAGGTTAGATGTCGTATGCTGGCCACAGCAGAAGGGGTGGGTATTCGTCTACACAACCCCCCTCTGTGTGCCTAAAATCAATTTGTGCAGGTGCTTAAGCTCCCCCGGTCCACCCCCCCCGCACACCCCATATTCCGAGTATTCCACACGATCGGATGACCTAACAATTATGTGAGAATTCCACATCCGGTCTCAAGACGAAACTAGCCCCAGATAACCCATGAGGTTATTTTCCCTTTACCAAAACAATTGTTTACGTTTTTATAGTTAAATACTGATTTATATATAGACAGCGTAATACTTTGTGATGTATTTGGCATAACTACGAATAAAGTATCTTTTAGAAGTTTCTCCTTGACCCACTTTCAAGTCAAGTCAAGTCAAGGAATGGCTTTATACACCCCGAGAGGTGGATATTCAGCAACCACATAACCATAGTGTGTCAAAAAATACGTTAAACACAATAGTATGATACAGTAGTTAAAAGGATGTGAAAAGGGACAGCAACAACCAAAATGAGTGGCACACCTGAGTGTTCATGAGGGATTTAGTGTAGTGTTTGACGCAGATTTCTCGTAACGAGGTCTTGGTTTGTTAGAAATCTGGCGAGATAAGGAACAAGCTTCAGTGCGAGTCTTTATGAGTTTGTGAGTGGAACGGGTGGATGAGTGAGAAAGGCAGTCGCTAAGAGTGGAATAAAGAGGATGGGAGACATCAGATAAAATCTTATTAGAGAATGTTTTACAGGACTTGAAGTGATGTGTCACCACAAACTCTACTAGATGTTCCCGTGGTATGAAACTACAAACGGAGAGAAACCTGAGGGATCGGGAAACGAGTTTGAGGTCCTTGTTCAAAAGACCAGGGAAGATAACAGGGGACCCATAAAGTCAATGAGGCAAAACGCACGCAAAGAACTGAATGAATTTAAGCTGGTGATTTTTCGACATCTCTGTGCGACAACTAATTAGCTTTCCTCCTCTTATATATTAACTTAGAATTGCTTTATAATCCTGATATTACAAGTTTCATGCTGTACAAAACCGAGCAATTCAGTGTTAGAAGAAACGTTCTTGGCCAGGAAAGTAAAAGAAGTAGATGAGCAATTCAACGAATCTGCATTACCCTTTCCTTTGGTACTTTATTCTGTGCGCATCAGTAACGAGTTTCCAAAAGAGGTATAAGAAGAAGCTGATAAGTGAAATACCTCCGGATTGGCAAAATGGTGTATCCCTTGTGACGAGTTTCACCGATCTTGTTTTACACTTTTGACTCCAGGAAGCTTGCACCCGCAGTTAAACCTCAACAAGCCATCTGACAAGTAGACTAAACTAACTTGAAGGCAACGGAGGCCAGCAAGAAATAATATGAGAACTATGAGAAATTCGATTAGTAGGCAGTCCAGATCTACTGGTTGATCCAACGGTTATAAATGAACTTTGATTGCTTGGCTTCCTGGGTTGCGTGCAAATGTATCTGGTAACTGGTATCACAGGGAGCCACGGATAACTACGCACCGATGCATTCCTACCTTGCAGAGACGCATTTGGTTGCACCAAGCCCTTGAGGTGCGTTCTCGAAAAAGCCCGAGTAGCACTGAGGGAGCATCTCTCACACCGACGAGTTTGATCCGCACACTGACACATCAGCACTTACCCTTTGTGACATTTCTTCTTCACAGACAGCGACACGCCCTGCTACACTTCTACATACGCCTGCAGTTTCTCACGAAATCGAGCATGTTGAAGTTTTACCTGTGTCTCGAATAGAATATCAGGCAGCCTGTACACAGGTGCACTCTCTGTACCATGTTATGATAGCTAAACGCCTATTGCAATGAACAATCTACTGGCTTGCTGCAATACTTCCAAGACGCAATGAGGAAACCGTTACTACTAGCATAAACGCCATATTCTTCAGGGAAATTATGGCAGTGTAGTTAGGTTGATGAAGCCATCCGTGAATTATTCCCAAGTTTCAATGCGTTCGACAGTTGGCGAAATACTTTGATCGTGCGTGTCGTTTCGTTACTCGTGTTGTTCTGTCAATTTTATATTTGTAAAGTACAAAACACAATCTGAGAATAGGAAACTTATTCGATTCCATTGACGTAGCATAATCAATCACACTTGTTTCATGACTCTGGTGAAAAATAAAACCACAAGGAACCAGTTAATAGGTTGTATAGAAACTTATAAAGTCAGTAATCAACATTTCACCGTGGACTGAATTTTGACAACAGCGTGCGTTTATTGCAATCAAAATAAACGAAACAGAGATTTGTTTATTCTTTTTAATTTACCGTCATTTTTCACAACCATATAACATTTTGGTCGGGAGGAGAATTTTTCCAAGTCCATATTCACACGTGTACGTTGTTTACATCGAGAGGCGACCTGGCCGAATTCCGTATACATTTCTTTAGTACTTTGGCAATCATCGATTTACATGTTTAGTATTTTTACACTCTTGGCGCATACATTCTCAAATTTTATGGCTTGTGTACTTTTGTACTTGCAGGGAACCACGTTTCGGAAACTGATTGATTATTCTAGTAAGGTTATTCTGTCTCCCAAAGCTGAGTAGCTTTGTGCTCTTGTACACTCGCAACCAGTAGCCCCTCAACAATCAGCTGAAGAGTAAGACCCTGAGGCAGTTTATTTTCCTCAATTCAAATCCCCAGAATCCTTCATTAGTTAAATCTGAAACAATGTTCAGGATTTTAGTATCGTCATCGCTTTTATACACCATCTCGACTGTAAGAAATATTATGCACTCAATTTTAAATAAGAATAAGAGAAAGTTACGTTAACAAGGTTTATTTATGCAGAACAACTTGCTCAACTATGCAGGAATAAGTAATAGCTGGAAGTGAACATCACCTATCATTGGATGTTTTTCTGAATACTGCCATATATTGAAGAAGTTAACGTGCAGATAATATTACCTTTAGAAACGCCTAAACAACTCATTCTTTGTCTATACATGCTCCCCTCCTACAGGTTAACCCCATTTAAACACTTCACCTGTTTTCCTTTCTGAGTATTAGCATAGGATCAATGCTATCCATTAGCACTAACTGACTGTCATTTAATTTTTATATTCCAGTCTTATCCGCAAATCACCCAATCAATCGTTGTATTGTATTGTGTATAACTTTTGCAAGCACCGGAGCTTACACATTTCAGTTAAAAAAATCATACACGCTAACCGCCACAATGTAAATAATAAACTGCAAGGCAAGTTTTTACAGACATGAGGACATTTTATAATCAAAGGTTAAGACAAAGTCCACATATTGTCTGCTCTTTGTTTATGAGTACACGAGCAAGATACGGTATAAGTGAATTGCGTTAAGCGTTAATTCGAGATGAAATTTTACGGAATTGGGNGAAAGGTTTACACGTGCAACGAGGTAGCATGACTCACCGGGACAAGTGACGCTTCCGCGGTTAAGCGTAAACAGGTTACTGCACCTGGTAAAATAAAAGCTTGCTTAGAGTAGAAAAGGAGTCGTAGGCAAAAGGTGAAAGTGGCGTGCTACTACAAAAGTTCACTTATTATCCGCTCTTTGTTTATGAGTACACGAGCAAGATACGGTATAAGTGAATTGCGTTAAGCGTTAATTCGAGATGAAATTTTACGGAATTGGGAGCGTGTAAAATGATGAGAAAGACGTGTCAGTTCTGCGTGCAATGGGTGGTCAGGATCTGCAAGAATCCTCTCAGCAAACTGTAACGGATCACTGGGAATGTTTAGAGACCGCTGAAGGCGTTTGAGGATGGCCTTTTCAGTCAATTTAAGAGCTGAAGATGTTAATGTTTTGGGGCTAAAACGTTTGGAGAGGATGGATTTGGATGCTTTGGGGATTGGTATGATTATGACCGGCCTCCAACAGTCAGGGATAGTAGAATAATCAAGAGATTCATTGACAATGAGGGTATTTGCCCCA